TCTTTTTGTACTTTCTTTTAGGAAATTGACTTTCTTTTTAGAGTAGCTTTATGTTCACAGCAGCTATGACCAGATGGTACAGGATTTCCCACATACACTCTGTATATCCTCCTATGACCAACATCCTCCACCAATATTATAACTGATGAGCTTCCATTCACAGCAGTATCACCCAAAGTACAGTTTGTTATGCACTGAGCTCATGCTTGGCATTGTATATTGTATACTTTAGGAAAAAACTCTAATGATGGGTATCTACCACTGTAGTATCACACAGACATTTCACTGAACTAGGACTCCTTCATGCTGTGCCTGTTCTTCCATCTCTCCCCAAAGCACTGGCAGTCACTGACCGTGTTACTATGTCCGTAGTTTTGTCTTTCTCAAAATATCATATGCTTGGAATTATGCAGTGTGTAGTCTCTTCAAACGGTTTTGTTCACTTAGAAAAACACACTGAAGGCGCCTTCATATCTTTTAAAGATATGATAACTTGTTTCTGTTGAGCCTTATGCTTTTTCAAAATGTCTGATGTATACTTTTTGCTTCCACATGCTTCCAACTGTCTGTGTACTTGCATAGACTCTGAAAAAACTCAATGAACAGACTGAATTTTTTTTTTTTGGTCTTTTTGAGACAAGGTCTCCCTGTAGCCCCAGCTGGACTAGATTCACTAATGGAGACAAGGCTGGCCTCGAACTCACAGAGATCCACCTGCCTCTGCCTCGCGAGTGCTGGGATTAAAGGCATGTGCCACCACGCCCGGCAAGACTGAATATTTTTTAAATCTTTAAAAAACTGTTATTTTTCACACTTGATCTTTCTTTCATTCAATTCAAAATTGGAATTCCAAGACAACATACAGAAGCTCGAGATTTATGTGAAGTCTGGCGATGTGTCTGTGGATCCTACATGCTTATTTTATCAGTCAAGTAGTTAAATTATTTCTGCATTGCTGTGCTTTACTAACTGACAAGTGTATATGTGCCTAACACTATTCTATACCATTTTTTAAATGAACTTCATTGTTGAGATGTAAAATAAGCATGCCTTGTCAACTGGTAACTAATTTTTAAATATTTGGTAGCATTTTAAAGTCTTCAGGACATCTTGCATTCTAAACTTTACAAATAAGTTAATTTTTTTCATTAAAAATTCTGTGAAAAACAAATTTAGACTGTTACTGGATGCAAAGTAAAACACATACACACACACACACACACACACACACACACACACACACACAAAAAAAAAAAATTCTCAAAAGCCAAGTTAGGGACTGGAGAAAAGACTCAGTGGTTAAGAGTACCCACTGTTCTAGCAGAGGACCTGAGTTCAGTGCCCAGCACCCACATGGAGGCTCAAAGCCATCTTTAACTCCAGAGCCAAGGGCTCTGATGCCCTCTTCTGGCCTCCTGAGTATTGCATGCACCATGTTGCATTTACATACATGCAGGCCAAAACACAAACACATAAAATAATAAATAATAATAAAATCTAAGTACTTAAAAACAAGTTACCATAAAGAGGAAAATTTCCCCATCACATTGACCTAAGAGAAACTGCCAAAAAAAGCATTTAAGATTCTGACTCTAGAAACACAGCCCAATCTTGGTTCAGCTTTACTGTTCTTTAATGGGCTTCTAAAATATATTTAAACCTTTGCAATTGGGAAAAGAATTAAGAAGGAATAGAAAGCCAGGGGAAGGCTTAGCCTCTAAGCCTGATGAAATGCATTCAATCCCAAGGACCCACATGATAAAAGGAGAAAACAGACTTCCCAGGCATGCCATGGCACACACGTACTGTGGCACACATGCACACACCAAAAAAATAAAATAATTTTTTAATGTGAGAAAAAAAGATGAAATTTCTGAAGGCATTTCTGTGCCCTTGAATACAGTCCCAATTATTAATAAATATCTTAAAAAGCATTTTGGGAAGACTGTAATTCAGACAGGCTTCATGTAGCAAATCAGCAAATTCTCCTCACACTTTAAAGATCTCTAACCTCCCATGCACTCCTCTGTTTGGGGACGATATTTCGAACTTTACCACCTGAATCTAACTTGCTAGATTAAAGTCTTAGCTCCTTTTGAACAATTTTATATTGAGTGAGACTTTTTCAATTCCATCAATAATTTGTATCAAAGAAAGAGCTGGGAAAGCAAGACTTTGCGGGCACCAGGCACCTGCAGGGGCACAGGGGGGATGAGGCATCATGGAGAGAGTAACAGACCTCAGATCAAGATTGATGGGAAAAATCACAGCATGTTACCAACTCCGCAATCTGGCAGCAGTCTCTCACGCCTTCACATTTCCCTCCAAAATCAACTACATGTTAAGTTCAAAGCAGGAAACTTTGGTTATAAAGCTTGGCTCTTTCTTGCAGATATCTGATTAAGTCAGAAATAGACTGTACTAAGTTTTATCTATGTGCAATGTCCTGTGCCTGGTGCTTAATGTCACTGTATTCTTAATGGTTAATGCTATTTACAAAGATGACATTCCAGCATCTGTGAACTTAATGAACTGGGCCTCTCAGGCCCTTCCTCTTCAACTGTGTAAAATGGGCCTGGTGCTGATTACACCTAAATGGAAGGATTTTAGTTCATTCTTGTTGTGATGGCAAAGTACCTGGACTGAGTAACTTTTAACAAAAAGAGGTTTACTTAGATCACAGTTCTAGAAATCATGAGTCCAAAATTAGGCAGCCACATCTACTGAGGGCCTTGTGCTACCTCATCACACAGTAGGAAAAGTTTGCAAGAGAAGAGAGCAAAGAGTTGACCTACTGTATAAAACCCACTTCTGCCAGAATGAGCCCATTTCTAGAACTAATTCAGCCTCAGAAGAAAGACACTGATCTCTCATCAAAGTTCTACCTCCCCACACAAAACATCCACATTATAGCATTCTGCCCCTGGCCTTCCACAACTCATGCCTTTCTCACCTGTAAAACATAATCACTCCATCCCAACGATTGTCACATCATAACCAATTCCAGCATCAGGTTGAATATGGAAAGTCTTAGGTGAGACTCTAAACTCCTTCCGGCTGTGAGTCTATAAAACCAACAAGTTATCTACTCCCACTGCACAGTGGTGGCACAGGCATAGGGTAACCATTTCCAGTCCACTGGGAATAACTGACCTCCTAAAATCCAAAACTCAGAAGGGCAGACAGTAACTCTTCAAATACAGATAATTTTTGTTCCACAGAATGCTCAAGGTGGGGACCAGCTCCGCACCTATGACAGCTGCTGTGGGTTGGAGTCTGGTGCCTGCAGTTTGCCCAGGCAGGTGTGGCATGCTGCCCCTGGCTCTGCAGGTTTGGGCCCTTAGGGTAATGGTTCCACTCCCACAGCTTCACTAATCATTACCCAGATAGGAATTCTCTCAGGCAGCTTCTCTTCCAAGGTTGATTTCTTCCTGAGCTCCAGGGCAGTTCAATACATTCCTTGAAAGGCATGCCTCCATAGTCCTTGCATCCAGGGCACAATTCAGAATTCTCTACTACATGTCCTCAGTCTCAGACTGTGTCCTCCAGTGTACAAGCTTTACCAAGGGACACTTGCACCATGGCATGAACAGCCATGGAAGGAGATGGCAGTGAGCACCACCACCAGATGCATGAAGCAAAAGGTGAACATGCACAGCAAGCCCAGGGGAATTCCCCCTGAACCCGTCCTGCTCCCCTAGATCTCTGGGTCTGTGATGGAAGAGGTAATCCTCAAAATATTAAATGTGTTTTCTGCCTTTTCCCCCTTGACAACTTACAGCTGGTTCCCTTTACTAACCCATCACTTGGTTACACCCCTGCATACTCTATATAACTAGGATGCCAAATTTCCAAATCCTTTTTTTATTTTATTCTATGTTTATCAGTGTTTTGCCTTCATGTATTTATGTGCACTACATGCATAGCTGGTGCCAGAGAAGCCAGAAGAAGGCATTGGATCCTTGGAGCTGGAGTTACAGGCAGTTGTGAGCTGCAGTGTGAGTGCTGGGAACTGAACTCAGGTTATCTACAAGAGCAATCGGTACTCTTAACCACTGAGCCATCCCTGACCCCCACATTTTGTACTCTGATTTTTGTTATACATTATGTCTTTAGGTCATTCAATTCTTCCAGGATGTCAGCATAGTTAAAAGTAGACACACAGCCCTTTCTATATTTTGCTTAGAAACTTCTGTCAGACATGCTAGCCAAACACTCTTAAGTTCCATTTTCTATAAAGGGACAAGAGCACAATGGCTCATCTGGAACATACATCTTAATTACAATTCACTGGCCACTCACTATGAGTTGAGAATTTCACATATGGTGCCTTACACATTTGTAAAACAAATCTATGAAGCAATTACTTAAATCCAGCTTTAAAGTTAGAGAAATTGAAGCAAGGAATAAAATACCACACCCAAAATGGCACATTGGTAAATGGTACAGATATGTGCTGATTCTAAGGCATCTAAATCCACAGGTAAAAAATCATCTCCACTACAGTTTACTGCCCAAATATTTAACACAATGATTGCAGTTCCAGAGGGAGAGGATCTTGTAGACATTTGCGTGTTTGAGTGCATGTTTATGTCTATGCAGCTGTTTACATGTGTGGGGGTACTTGTACATGTGTGTGCACATGCATGTGAGGACAGAGGACAACCTCACTTGTTCATCAGGCACCATTCATCTTGTTTTTTGAGACAGGTCCTTCACTGGCTTGCAACTTGTCAAGTAGGCTAGGCTGGCTGGTCAGCTCCCAGTGCTGAGATTACAAGTGCACACCACCATGTCTGGCTTTTTATACAGGATTCTGGGAATTTAACTCAGGTCCTCATGGTTGCAAGACAAGCACTTTACCGACTGAACCGTCTCCCCATCCCCATTTGTGTCTTTTTTTAGTTCTGTAATGTACTGCGCTCCCTCTTACATGTAACCATTTGTCAACACCACCTTTAATGTAGATGGTCATTATTAACCCACGTGGCCCATTGTCCTTGTGGTCCATGGAAAACATGTCCATAACCAATGCCGGGAACAGCTCAACTGTGACCATGTTCATCTTCTTGGGATTCTCAGACTATCCCAAACTCCAAGCCCTCCTCTTTCTAACTTTCCTGGGCATCTATCTTGTGACCTTGATTTGGAACCTGGCCCTCATCTTTCTGATCAGAGGTGACATCTGTCTGCACACACCCATGTACTTCTTCCTCAGCAACTTATCCTTCATTGACATCTGCTATTCATCCACTGTGGCTCCCAAGATGCTCACTGATTTCTTTCAGGAGCAGAAGATCATATCATTCCTGGGATGTGCTGTTCAGTTCTTTTTCTTTGTCGGTTTGGGCCTAACTGAGTGCTTCCTCCTGACAGCTATGGCTTATGACCGATATGCAGCCATCTCCAGCCCCCTTCTCTATACCACAATCATGTCCCAGGGCTTCTGCACATGCATGGTGGCCGGGGCTTATTTTGGTGGCTTCCTTAGCTCTTTGATCCAGACCAGCTCCATATTTCAGCTCCACTTCTGTGGACCAAACATTATCAACCACTTCTTCTGTGACCTCCCACCAGTCCTGGCACTTTCTTGCTCCAGCATCTTCTTCAGCCAAGTGTTGAATTTCCTTGTAGTGATCACTGCAGGAGGGTCATCATTTCTCATCCTCTTGATCTCCTACAGTTACATAGTGGCTGCAGTATTGAAGATCAGCTCTGTGGAAGGCCGGTGGAAAGCTTTCAACACATGCACCTCACACCTGATGGCCGTGACTATGTTGTTTGGGACGGCACTTTTCATGTACCTGCGGCCCAGCTCCAGCTACTCACTCAGCAGAGACAAGGTGGTGTCTGTCTTCTATTCACTGGTGATCCCCATGCTGAACCCTCTCATTTATAGTTTGAGGAACAAAGAGATCAAGAATGCCCTGTGGAAAGTGATGGAGAAAAAGTGTTTTCTAGGCCATGAGTAGAAACATGATCCTCTACCCTTACATGACCCATAGCATCACCTCCCCCTGTGCTTAGGCAAAGGAGACATTCTGTGTCCATATTTGAAATGAGACTCTTACCAGATGTGCCTTGCTCTTCTTCACCATCACTTGCCTACTGAGTCTACCATTCAAGGCCAAAAGGAAAAGAAATTTCTTCATTAAAAAAAAAATCTTCCTGATAGTAGGCTATTGCTATGATAATCGTGACAACTATATCCTTTATTAGACACTTAATGTGTACCAAACACAAAGGGAAGTTACAAAATGAAGCAATAAGAGCACAGCAGAAATGCTAACTTGCTTAGCACTGCACCAGAAGTTGGCCAGAGCTCTGATACAGGCTTTAGTGCCCAAGTTCTGCTCAGATGCTACCCTCCACGTTCAGCAATAAACATTGCTGATGAGGTGCTCTCCCTGATACCATATGGGAGGATTGGAAAAGATTCACTCTGCATAGCTTGGATAAATTACAAGAGCAAGATGTCTACCCCATTCAACAGGAGCTCCTCGTTGGACTCTCATCATAGCTGCTGAGCAATGTGCTAAGCAAGTGCTGAAAGGCATTACCCTCTGCAGTAATTTCTTCCTGCCTCAGCTATGCAAAAGCCTTACAAATCTGAGTCCAGTGGTCCAATGGCTTATACTATCATGCATCTCTCCAAGTCTACCACCTACCCAGTCAGTATTGCCTTGGTTTTAACAAAATTGTTCCTTCAGCAGTTTGATAGTGAGGGTAAATTCCATTTCACAGTTGGATGTCTGTCTTGATTACAATAACCATACTTCCCCTTACTCTGCTCTGGCTGAGCACATTCCTGTAAAATCTCCACTACAAGGGGTTTAAAAGTGTAGCTCCACATGGGATACTATTTGTCTGCAATCATTTCAGGACAATGTGTATGAAGCTGAGGCGCTTTCAGGTGATTACTCTTCTGGGGGGGCTGCGAGGAGGAGCACTTACAGTCAGTGTGTCCAACACAGCTATCTCAGCTGACAAATTCTCCCCTTGTGTCTTTGTGACTCTGGCTACTTCCAGCATACTCACATCTTGATGAGTGTGGATTTCTTAACAATGCAGAGATTGAATTTTACTTCTTTGATTATATAAGAGAATTATTCCCTCCATATGTGGAAGAGCATCAACAACGCATGGAGGAGAGGTATCTGTCCTGAGTTTCCTAGATTTCTGAGCTTCATTCCCATCCAAGGCCAGCAACTGCTACAAATCATACACAGACATAGGGTATTGGTTCTAGGACCAAAACTACCCCAAATCTGCGGAAGCTCAAGTCCCATACATAAAACAGCATAGTATTACACGCTGTTTCATGTACTTAAATCATCTGTAAATTACCTGTAACTCAATACAGTGTAAATGCCATGTGAATAGTTGTTATATGGTAGTATTTAGAAGATAATAACCAGGAAAATGTCTGTACAATTCATTAAGGATAGAATTTTTTAAATTTCATTCATTGGATCTTCCTACATAGCCCAGAGTATCCTCAAACTCATGATCTGAGTTCCCTAAATTCTGAAATTACAAATCTGCACCAGCACATCTGCCTTAAGGATACAAATGTTTTCTAAAAAATTTAATTCTTGGTTGACTGAATACATTAATGAATTACATGAATGTAGAGTCCACAGGTAACTGGGTATAGGTGTGTGGTGTGTGTGTGTGTGTGTGTGTGTGTGTGTGTACACAAGTGTGTAGAGAGAGAAAGAGCATTTAAGTGTTTAACTATGTTTCAAGCCATATTCTAAATATTTTGTATGTATTGACCAACTAATTCCCATCATAGTCAGTGACTAAAACATGACTTCAAATTCAAGCCATGTGGCTCCCCACACTGCATTCTGTGACTGTCTGGGCCTGTGATGATGGAGATCTTATGGTAACAGTCAAATATACTAGAGAAACTTGCCTTCTTCATCCTCCTCTCTGCTGACAGTGCTCCACTACTCCATCCTTCATCCACCCCTCTACTGACTGTGTTCCACTGCTCCATCCCTCATCCTCCTCTCTGCTGACAGTGTTCCATGCCCATCCTCCAAAGTGAGGCCCATATGCAGAGGCCATTGTTACACAAAGAACTAACTCATAATCACTACAAAGCTGAGACAGTACTTGAGGCTGCAATGATGAGGTCAGCAAAATGTTAGGAAAGAAATTTGGTAGTATGTGTGGTGAGAGATACTTATCGAAAATGTAAGCCAGCAATCAAAAATGTGTAGAGAATGAGGCAGGCATGGAAACAGCCCAGCGGTAACAAGCACTCGATGCTCTTCCAGAGGACCTGGGTTCGGTTCCCAGAACTCACAAGGTGGCTAGCAACTGTTTATAACTGCAGTACCAGGGAATCCAATGTTCTCTTCTGACCTCCATGGACATTGCACAACACAGGTGCACTTACATATGTGCAGACAAAACACTCATACATATAAAATAAAAATAAATCAAAAATGTTAATGTGTAGAGAAAATTGAGAAATGGAGAGTCTGAGCGTCATTGTTGCTTGAGTCTCAGCTATATAATTGATTTTTCAGGCATTTTTTGGTGGTAGTTGAGTTCATAGGACAATGTAAGTTGACATCCTGGGTCTCGCACTTCCTGGCTATTTGATAAAACAGAAGCTCAGTGTGTCAGATAGACTGTTGAATCATTCAAAAGTGATTGCCTCCAAGCCCAGCACATAGTATACATTCAGTAAAGGACAGCTAATAAACAGTGGTAGAGGGGGTGGAGACATGGCTCAGTGGTTAAGAGCACTGGCTGCTCTTATAGAGGACCTGAGTTCAATTCCCAGCACCCACATGGCAGCTAACAACCATCCATAACTCCAGTCCCAGGTTATCCGATGCCCCCTTCTGCCATTGGCATTGCATGACACTGGTGTACATACATGTATTCAGGCAATACACTCATATAACATAAAATAAAAATAATTAAAATTTAATAATTTTTTAAAATAGTGATGAAAGGCTAGCAAAATGACTCAGCAGTTAAAGGTACTTGCTGCTGAGCCTAACAAGCTGAGTTCAATCCCCAGGACCCACATGGTAGCAGGAGAGAACCAACTCTCTCAATCTGTCCTCTGACCTCCACAAATGCCGTGGCGTGTGACCCTCCCAGCAACACACACACTAAGTAAATAAATAAATGTAAAAATATTTTTCAATTGTGGCAAAATAGAGGAGGCAGTTGTGATATAAACAATAATCAACAGTTATTAAGTGCCTGCTACATACTACAGTGTGTACACTGCAATGAACACAAAGAAATTCAGACAATACCAGAATAGGACACCTCCCCAAAAGTCATTGGCCAAGAAAGCCCCAGAGGCTCCCCAAATAATACAAGTTATTTCCATTGCTCTTAGTTTCATTCCCGAACTAGATGCTAAGACCCTATTGCTGAAGACATGGCACACCCTAGCTGCAGAGCACAGAAAAACCACACAAGAACTGAGCCTGCCTGCTGACTAGCTATCATAGTGGCAGAAGTTGTTCTGTAGGCAGCAAGGGGAGAAAAGTCAGCAGTGGCCTATCATAGCTGTTGCCCTTGTATGCTGCAATACCAACCTGCCAGATAAGGTGTGCCTCTTGGGGCAATAGTGGCACAAGTGTTATGGAGACACCAACCACTCTCAGTTGAATCTGAGGCCCACTCTACAAGATGCCACAATGCTGTGGACCTGGGGAAAGGACCTGGGGAGATCATAGACTTTAAGGAGTAATCTGCTACTGTTATTTGTTAAATGGATATGTACTGGATAGCTTTAGTGTCAACTTGACACACCTGGGTTGAGGGAGCCTCAATTGGGGAATTTCCTTCATCGGACTGGCCTGTGGCCATGTCCACGGGGCATCTTCTTGATTGTTGAGTGATGTGAGAGGGCCCCTGGAAAGGTGGGCCTGTGTTGCATAAGACAGCAGGCTGAGCAGGGGCCAGGGGAGAAAGCCAGTAAGCAGCATTCCTCCATGGCCTGTGCTCCAGCTCCTGTCTCCAGGTTCCTGCCCCGAGCTCCTACCTTGGGCTCCCTGATGAACTGTGATCCAGGAGATGTAAGATAAAATAAACCCTTTCCTCCCAAAGTTGATATTGGTCAGAGTATTTTGTCACAGCAATGGAGAAACAAACTAGGACAGAAATTGGTACCAGAGAGTCGGGTATTGCTGTGACAGACCTGACTTTGGTGTTTTTATGAGGATTGTGGAAGCATTCAGAACTTTGGGTTGGAAAAGCTATTGCATGCTTAGAGTTTGTTGCTGTGGAGCTTAGAACAGTTATGTTTAAAGAGTTGTGAATGATGGAGGCCCGGCTTGTGAAGCTTCAAAGGGAAACAGAGACTATCAGGGCTATTCATGTGAGATTTTGAATTGAGAATCTGTGGGTTCTGGTCGGCCGGGGCTTAAGAATCAGCTGTGATTAAGAAGAGACCAGAACCTGAAGCAAAACCTTTGCTTTACTGGGACAATTGATGCAAACTGAAGAAGTAGCTGTGATTAAGAAGTGACCCGAACCTTAAGTAAAACCTTTGCTTTATGGGGACAATTGATGCTGGTTGGCTGGGGCTGAAAAATCAGCTGTAAGTAACAAGAGACCAGCATCACTGTGGTCAAATCTTCTGGGAGGTATTTCCTCAGGGTCAGCACACAGGGGAGACCCAAGCCTCCATCTCAAGCTGGAAGCAGGACTTGGTAATGTGTAAGAGTCTCCTGCATGGTTCTGGTGTTTAAAGCATGAAGGGGTCATAGAGAACAGTTGAGGCTTGGCACTCTGAGAGGCCAGGAAAAGTCATTGGTGAAAGTGCAGCCTCAGTTGCAGTGAAGACCCCAGGATTGAAGGGGTCATGTAAAGAATCTGAGTCATTACACCCTGAGAGGCCAGAAGAGGCCATTGGTGAGGGTGGAGCCTCAGTTTCAGTGGACCCCAGCTTTTTGGAGATGCCAGGACTGTGGGACAACCACCAAGGACAGCAGTAG